CATGGCACTGACAAAAAAAAAACCCAGACTCCCACGTCGGTCTGTAGGAGTGACCCTGCAGCTCCCGCCAGGATCTGTACGCAGCGCCTCCTCGCAGTGTCTTTTGTCCTACCTCGGCTACGAGAAGACCTTGTGGCTTGGTCGCAGGATTTCCAGAGCTTCACAGGCTGCGGGTGTACGGTTTCGGCATGGCTGCGCAGAAGTGATGACTCCGTAGCTATTGTAGTTGTTGTGCGGACTGCGGCTCAGATGGGGCAGTCGCCTGTTGGATATCGCCGCTGGGCCGCACAAACCTGCACGGGAAGCAGAACCCATGGATCGAGTAGCTCCTTTATGGGTCCTTGTGGTAGGGCAGCAAGGCTCTTTCTATTGCGAGTAATTACCGTGGCTCTTCATGGGTTCCTTCTGATCGGGACCCGACTGTATTACTACGGTGGCTCGAGAAGAATGAGAAGGATCCTACCACGTATTACCATCCTTCGTGGGGGTTATTTAAACAGGGATCCCACTGCTATCGCTAAGATCGCTCTGGTTACAATTTCAGCCGTTGAAGATGTGCTTGGTCCTGGAGTCTTCAAACAGCCTTTGAGAGCAACGAGTAGCGTGTCTGGCCGGTTGCTGCACTCTGTAGTAGCCTTACCTAGGGCCTGAAGGCATCAATCTCCGACAACCCTGAAGGTTGTGGCAGCCGGGCTCATTTCATCGCTGTCCTTGATGAAGGATTCTCGTGTTGCGGTCATCGCAGGCCTGAGCATCTGGAAAGACTCTGGACGCAGCGATCCTTACTGCATGGTGCAGTGGACTTTGAGTCCAAGTACCGAACTCGAATAGTTGCTTCATTGCTCGCTCATTCAACCATGAAGCTATAGTCTAGAACCTAAACCCAAAACCCGAAAGCCTAAGCCGGTTTGGGGTTGAGTGTACCGGGCATCAAGACAGCTCTCAGAAGATCAATGCATGTTCATTCGCGTGTTTGCAAGCAGCTGAACCTGGGTGGAGACAGATGTGTATCTGTATGAGCTGGGCAGCATGTGTACATACACACATACATAATGTCAGACCCTCTGAGTGCCTGCCTGTCTGTCTGCCTGTAATATACATGAGTATGTGGGTCCATTGATACTCTTCTAAGATCCCTTGCGCTGTGTTAGCCCGCAGCCACCGTTCAGCCATGATGGAGGTATGAACTGCTTCCTGCCCACAATAGCTGCCGACTTCGGGAAGTATTTGGTGTGCCTGCGGCCCAGTTGCTCTGCAAGCGAGGCTGTATCCCGAAGTGCAGATCGAACCACCAAGACTGAGAATTGCAGACACTACAACCGCGCACCGAAGCTTAATCCTAGAAGAGCCAAGGCCCCGATCCTGCCTCGATGCCCAGCACGCATAAACCGAATCCTAAATCCAACACCCACGATTAACATCTCGAGCTCCATCGATGTGCGGCTACGGCACGAAACTGGAAGCTTCCTAGTTTCCTAGTCTTGTTTCGAGTGTTGGCAAGTCCTGAGAGTTACGGGCTTGGATTGCTTGTGTTGAGATGTGAGATCGTCGTGGTTTATGTAGGCTCTACGAATGAAAACCTACGGAAGTCTCAGGCTACCGCCTGCAGCGAGATGACGCCTCCGGGCTCCAGGGCCTCCGCTGCCCTTTCCTTCCTGGAAGTGCCGGGCTGGCCAGTGCGACGCAGGTTGGGCAGAGTTGCAGTTGAGGGGTTCAGGTGCAGGGGTTTAGGGTTCAGGGTGTAGGCTTTGAGCTTTGAGATGTCGACGCAGAAGTTGACAGCCAGGAACCTTTAACTTGCTTCGAAGGTTGCAATTAAGATTTTCTCATGATACTATTGTTCTTCAGCTCCGTTGCCTTTCCAAGCAGAGTCAAGCCTCGTTGAAGCTCCAGGTGGTGGGGGGCCTGATTCTATTCATGGTCGCCGCTCTTTGGACATGGCCCCTTGTCTGTTGGCGGTGTAGGATCAAAAGCTGAAGTGTCTCGGGTTCTGCACTTGGGATATCTGAGTTTCGAAGTTGCTTTCGCGGCTTCATGGTTTTCGAGGGCGTTCGAAGGTTTGTGGTCGATTTTAAGCTCCAATGCAGGAATTACATTCGTAAGCTCCTAGCCCCTGAAAGGCGTGTGACAGCTTCAGTTTCAGATTACTGTAGGGCATGCACTGTCAGCCTAAAGCCTAAACATGACACCGTACATCCTGCACCCCAGGCCCTACCTCTACCCCCTGCACCCTAAACCCTAAACCCTAAACTTCAAGCCAGGGCTGCCTTTGGCCCTAGGCGAGAGTGGCCGGACTTGTGGGTGCAGGTCTGTCTGTCCAGCTCTGAACCACGCACCGCCATGAAGCCTAAGCCTTAACCTTGAATCGTGTTAGGGTTCTCATGAGTGTTTAGGGCCAAAGTTTAGGCTCTGGGGTCTAGGGTTCATAAGGTTTAGAGCGCTAAAATCTCCGGGCAGCCCGGCGACTTAAGTCCGTTGAAGGCCCGACTAAGGCTTCGGCAGGAAGCCTAAGGTCTGAGGTTTGAGGTCAGCAGTGACTTGGAGGTTCTATAAGTTTTTACTTACATCACCTTTAGGAACTTTAAGGAATCCCATACCTATTATGTAATTAAATTATGTAACCCTGGAGAATCCGATGATTATATGCAGGAGCCCCAAGAAGTCGACACAGTAAGGAACCCTGAGGAATCATACTGGTATTATTTGCAAGTCGGTGTATTTCAACACGGATCGTTCATTCCGGCTGCCACGAGGCTCAGCCTTTCCAGATCCGACGAGGTGGGCGAAGGGTGGGGATGTCGCATGGCTGCTAAAACATCTAAGAGAGTTTAGGTTAGAGTTTAAGTTTAAGCTTGAAAGTTTAGGACTCTACACCCTAAACTTTCAGGGTTTAGGGTGTAGGCAGATCTTCATGTGGGCACTGCATGGTAAGCCGTGCAACTTGGGAAACCCTGACTCCACATCCCCTGCCTCGAGGCTGAAAGTCCTTCTAACCCGAAGCATCCCCCTGGGATAAATATAATATAGGGGTCGGAGGAACCAGTGGTGATATTCCCCCGTTGTCCGTCTAGAATGGTGCTATTCTAACATCCTGCAAAACCTGTGGCCCCTTGTAGTACGCTTTATGAGGTAGCCGCGGAAGCCCCTCAAGCTGCTAAAATCTGAAGCCTCCCCCTAAACTCTAGACCCTCTATACTCCAATCCACAGGCTGACACCGCGAAGCTTTAAAAACCCAAACCTTGAACTCCTCCCTACGCCCTAACCCAAACCCTGGCTTTTTGAGAGTTTAGGGTTTAGGGGCTTTAGGCTTTTAGGGCTTTATAGGGGTTTGGGTTCCGAGCCTTAAGCCCTAGCCTGAAGCCCTGAGTCCCAAACCCCGTAGCCTCAGCCCTAATACTAAACCCCCTAAGCCCTACTTTCTGAGCTGAGGCCGGGCGTTTCTCTTGAGGCTGTGAGAAAGGCCTCAGACCCTCCAAAGTCTCAGCATGTCTCAGCCGCGAGCCGTAACATGTCGGCCGGGAGGATCCCAAACCCAGCCACGTGGTCTTCCTCACCAGCAAGTACCAGCGCAGATACGCGCTCTTCGAGACGGAGCGTTTGATCAGGAGCCGTGCTGTCATCTTGTGGTGGGGTCTGGCTTGGAATTCACAATTTCGCCGCCATCTCATGTCGAAGATCACAGTGTTTCCACTCACATGATAAAGAGAGTGTTTTACTCCTAGAAGCAGTCTCTGCACCCCGCAGCCTTTTTCAGACCGAGTCCAGCCTGGCAAGCAAGGTTTAGGCTTTGGCGGAGCCGGAGAGACAGTGCCCTTTTCTGGCTTTAGAAAACTCAGGCTATCCTGTTTCCAAGCGCCTACTCCTGGCGGACGTTGGCTGGGGTTGTGCTGGTCGAAACACCCGGCTCGCTGCAACGGTTGTGCGTCCTGTACAAATGCACAATTTCAGACATTCAGGTGGGGCAGGGCATCAGCGCCGAAACGAAACGGGCGTTGTGGCAGTGTACGCAGTGCGAGATTGATGTGGCTCGCTTTTGGCCTGTGGTAGTGGCAGCACTGCCGCAACTCGATTGGCTTATGGACGACCGGAATCCGAACCGACAGTACTACAACCTCTTTGAATGCACCAGCTCGGACCACATGAAAATCACTGTCGTCTACGTCTTGGTGAAGTTGGGGTGGACGTGTGTTTCGACGGGTCTGGACGTTTAAATGTGCACTCAATTGGGGATTGGTCCCCACAGGGAAAAGCAGACGAAAGGGCTTACATGTGAACGGTTCCAAGTCGCTTTTGCCCACCAATGCTCATAACTGCTGGAAGAAGTGTGCGGCGCGTGAACCTTGTCGTAACTTGTCTGTTCCGGAACAGAACCGGGCCCGATTCCTTGAACTTGGTGGAAGGAAGACGCTCTTCACTTTCATCGGCGCCTTGCTGCCCATCCACTCCTCGCCAGCGTTGCAAATGGGCTGCCTAGGCGAGCGAGTGTAGCAGAAGACAGGGTCGAGTCTTCTGGGCTTTTGTCACGCTGGATGGGGTTCTATTTAAGGGTTCATATGACTGTTCAGAGTTTGCAAATATTGGGAAAGGGCTCTGTGAGCAAGGAGGCCACCAGCCTAAAGATTCTTCGTGAAGCTGGCTGGAAACCTTCCAGACTCTCAATGCCAGTCTTAGACCGGAGACTCCTCGAACCGATTGTACATCCGAAACCCGACAGGCTTGAAAGCTTGACTCTAGGACTTTCGCATGCAGAAGTCTCGGAAGCTTCTGAGATCGGCGGGTGCAGTCGCATAATGACGGATCCAGTCCGTGTTGTTGTCCAAAGTCTGAACCCTGAGCACCCAAAACCACAGAACCGTCATCCACCCTGAACCCTGCACCCAGGGAACTTGATTCTGAATGGTCCTATCAAAGCAGTCTCTTGGACGACTTTGCCAGGCATTGTGGTGTTGGTGTCGCTGTTTCTGTACTGCCGCTACAAGCCTTACCACTCGCCGGAGTGGAACTGGAGCGCTGGGTTCCGGTCTGGTTAAAGAGATGGAATATTCTTACTAGAAAAAGCACTCCAAGCACTTGTTCTTAGCCATTAAAGCTTCTGCAATAAGTGGTTGATGTTTGGCTAAATTCTCAGCAAGTCGGGCTAGCGTAACGGCAGAAATTCAGGATACTACCATCCAGGCTTTGTCTTGACAGCCGTGTGATTATAACATATCCCAAAATTATTAAAGTTCATAACGCCCCATAAACTGTGAGACCCTTACAAGAACCCTACTCCCTCTCAACCCTAAACCCGAGCTTGCTGCGGTCCGGGTTTAGGGTTGAGGATTGCGGGCTGTTTTGGTTTCATGCTTGGGGTTCTGGGCTTCCCCCCAAAAACCGCCTGCAGGATCGAAATCTGGTTGCTCTTCGCTGCAGCGGTGATGATCACAAGTGTGTCCACTTTGCTGCGCGGCTTTGGGTTTAGTTAAAGTTTAGTTTACGGCTTGCAGTTGAAGGTTCTGGGTCCAAGTTTTAGGGTTGTGAGGGTTTAGGCTGAGGAATTGAGGGTGTAGGATTCCGGGTTTAGAGTGCTTTGCTGCTCAACCCCTGTGTTTCAGGTGACCTAAGCCCCCAAACCCTAAACCCAGTATCTCAGCCCAAAACGGGACAGTCAGTTCTAAGACCGGAGCCCCTCCGTTCGGAGGTCTCGGGATTCAAAGCAAAACGCCCGAAGCCCGTGCTTTGCGGGACCTTAATCTTTGGGATGGGGTTTTGCGGTTCATGAAAGCTGAGGTAGTATCATCAGTTATTCCGGTTCAGCAGGCATCCCCCATCAAGAAGCAGCGGCACGGTCATTGCATCCAAGACTGCTGAGGCTTGCAAATGAGTTCCACTGGGGGCACTCGGTACCCACTCAGCAGTCGATCATCTTCGCAACTGCAGGCATTGCGGCAGTGGCAAGCTGCTTGGTGAAGCTCTGAAGGTTGATGCCCCCCCTTCTTTGCCATAAGAGCCCCACAAGTTGAGATCTCCATACTGCAAGGCCTGAATTGCTTGAACCCCAAAGCGGCTGTAGTTTGTGGCATCGTACTTCGAGCGAGACTGTGAGCTTTACCAGTGCTACTGTTATCTCTGCTGCTGTTACAGTTATTGTCGATGGTGTTGATTTAATTTGCTGCTGCTGCTGCTGCTGCTGCTGCTGCGTCGTTGCTGTCCTTCTCGCTGGGATCATCGACAGAATTGTCATGTTGGTGACGGTGACAAGGGTGATGGTGTTTCTGAACTGATGATGATGTTGATGTTGATGATGAAGAAGAACATGATAATGTAATGAGAATGAGAAGAACTATGAACAACCGCAGTGGCAACGAAAACTGCAACAATCGCAACAGCAGCAAGAACAGCACCAGCACCAGCACCAGCACCAGGGCCATCCCAAGCGCCAGCGCCTGCACGGGAACCAACAGCAGCAGCAGCAGCCGCGGCGGCGGCGGCGGTGGCGGTGGCGGCAGCAAACCACCCAACTGCCGACACCAACACAATCTGGCAGCAACCACGAACACAACCACAGCAGCAACAACGACAGCGACAGCGACAGCGGACAGCTGACAGCGGACAGCTGACAGCGGACAGCGAGAGCAACAGCAATGCACCAACAAAAACAACAGCAACAACAACCACGACGACCACGACGACGCCCAGAAGACCACTAAAACATAAGCATCTCAGGGTTTTCTCTGTTCGTGATTTTGATCCTTTATCCCCCACATATATGATTCTTGTGTTTATGTGGGTTTTTGCGGACCTGATCCCCAGCGCCATGATGCGGCTCAGGGTTAGGGCTCAGGGTTTAGGGTTTCAGAGGTTAGGGCTGTGGGTTCAGCTTACGGGCTCCAGGTGCCATCATGGTTTTTCGAGTGATCCAAGAGCTGGTCCGGGAACAGAGGCAGGAAGAACCATGGGTTGAGGGGTTTAGGGTTTATAGGGCGCCTCAGCTTGGAGAGAAAGGGGCTGTTCTGGCAATCTGCTGCGGCCTGGTTCGTGCTTGAGTTTGGACTTTCGGAGCTCGAGTCTTTGCAACGTTCGGGCATGGTTATTTGTGTGCTTTGCTGGTTGTGGAAGCCCTTGACTCCCTTGACTCCACATTCCTGTGTTAGGGTTGGCCCTGTGCAAATGCCTCTGCACGCAGGGACACTAAACATTGAGCCTGGCTAGTTTCCTTGCTGTACAAATCCTAAGCCCCAAACACTCCCTGAACCGTGCCCAAACCGCAGGCGCCCACCATCAGGATCCATAAACAAACGAGATTGAGCTTGTCGGTGGCGTTCGGAATTTTCTTGGAGGTGTAGTTCGGGTCTACATTACGGTCCCGTTGTGTCTGAAGCTCCCGTGCGAACTTCGGGCTAAAGGAATTTTGTCTCGATCGGGACTTCTTCTTGCGAGCACAAGACTTGTGTGCACGCAGGATTCCTTTCTGCCGTCATCCCCTGGCCCGTGAAGTCCTCAACAACTAGCACCCTGATATCCCCATAGAGAGCCCTATAGTCGAACGCATCTGCCCATATGCCGTCAAATCCCGCATGGAGTCCGTATAGAATGGTAAAGGAACCCCTAAACCCGAAACAAAGTCTAAACACTAAAGTCTGAACCCTAAACCCCAGCCCCCTAACCGATAGCCTGCCGGAGGCAAGCAGCCAAGTGACCGTGGAGGACTAAAAAGCCTCGACCTTTGCAAAGAGTGGTGAAACAAAAACGACGGTGCCTTACGAATTTGAAGGTTTTTTGAATTCGGGTTGTGCAGCTTTTCTCAGGGTTCTGGGGGCCGTACTACCTGCAAAAGGGCTTTGGGGACAGATCAGATCGAAGTACACTTAGAAAGGGGCTCTCATACAACACCAAACCCGGATTACGGGTACGGTGCCTAGGGGTTGCTCATAGTCAGTATCTTGGAATTTGAGTCTATGGCAGGGACTTTTTTTTTTTGCGAGACTCTTTCATGTTTACCAGTGTTCCGAAACCAGAACCCCTGAAACCTTTGTCTGGGAATTGAACTATAGCTTCTTCGGTACTCACGAATTTTGCAAATTCTCCACCTCAGCTCGATACCTCAAGCATGAATTCTTATACTGCAAACCTTACACCCTACACTCTAGACCGCAAGCCTTAAACCTTAAACCCCAAAGCTTGAACCCTAAACCCTTCCCAACACATGAAACCGGTTCCCACCGTGCAAAGCATGCTCACACATCGTATACTTTGCAATTCTAGGAGTACTCCAGGAGCTGGAGCCTCCATAACCGACAATGTCTTCCGTAAAAGGTCTAGGGTTTAGGATGTGCAGTGTCTTCCCAAAAATACATCCCAGCTCAACCCCGACACATCACCACCCGACCCGAACCCACCCAGACCAGATATCTACCGAAATGAATGGAGTCGCATTCGCACAGAGTCGAAACTGCATAGGTGTGAACTTATCCACAAATGCACAAGGTTGATGCTTAGACTAGTTTCGACTGGAGCAGTGAGGCAAAGGTGCGACGCGTGCCGCAGCCACAGCCCTGGCTCTGAGCCAGAGAGCTCACGGCTCCGTTGTTTGACTTCATATAAGCTCTCCGGCTTGAAGCCGGCGGGTGCATTCCATGGCCCTTGGCTCATGGCCCGCGCCATGACCTTCGCCACGGTCCTTCTGGGCGCCTTGGCTTGATCCGAGCTTCCGAACGGATGTCGTACCCAAGCCACCTGCCAGCCTTCAAAAGCTGCCCAAGGGCTGTGCATCACCGGCTGCGCCTTCCGCCCCTCCCGAGAAGAGGTGCAGCAGCCCCTGGAAACAGAGGCCCACGGCGTCCGGCCCAAGTCCAGCTCTGAGCCCATCCGCCCTCTTTTGAGATCTTATGGCTCAACCTTGTTTTGCAGATAAGCGCATCCGGTTTTCGGCTGTGTCTGGTCACTTAGAGGCTTCTCAGCCCTCATCCGCCCCTTAATCACAATGACCTCGAACCTCCGAATAGTCCTAAAGCCCTAGAGCTGGAAAGCCAATTTCTGCTCCACAGGTAACGCATCGAGATGCCCGCCCAATTGCAGAGGCCTCTTGTGTCATAGATTGCCAGGGTCGCAGGTTTTGCAGCTGTTGGATAAGCGTCCCGATCTGTGGCGGCAGGGTTGGTTCTCCCCATAGCTTTGAAAACTCCAGGGTAGAGGATACCATGGATAAAGGTCTGGGTTTGGGAATGTGTCGGACTATCAGATGCAGTTATTGTTTTGCACGTCTGACTGGCTGCCAACATGTTGAACGCACTCTCAACTCAGATTGCAAGTTTCTCCCGCAGCCTTTCACTCGGCGGGTTTGGGTATTCGGACCCTTGCAGAGGCCCCAAAGCCCCAGAGGCCCTTAAAAGTCCCAAAAGCTTAAGCCCTCGAGGCCTCAGAAGCCCTGAAGCCCTGGAACCTCTAAGCTGCGACCGGGCCAAGGCTTCGAGGTCCCGAAACCTCGATCCTGGGATGAAGAAGGCAGCTCCTGTCGAGGTCACCGTTTCAGCTCTCTTCCCGAAGTTGTTAAGAAAGTGGGGTATGTTCTGGGACTTCGGGTTTGGGGCTTTGTAGGGTTTTGTTTTGGGGTTTCGGGATCCATGGGTTTGAGGTATGAATGGGCACATGCACTCTCGGTCTCGGATTTGACCAATGCCAGCTAAAGCCCCCACATGCATTGCATCATTCCCCCTGCATTCAACAGCCCGTCAGACCCTGTCTGTGTAAAACCCCTAAACTTAAACCTTACAACTCTCTTGACTGGTGGAGGCGGGTGCGGCTTTTCTGGCAGGCGAATCAGTCGCTCGTCTGCGTTGCTTGCGGTTTCGGGTTCAGAGTTCACACCTGGTACAGAAATAGCTGACGTGCCGTGGGAAGCCGTGAAGCCATGTGGCGTCTTTCAACACCACCCGAAATCAAGGAGAAGTGGAGCCCTTTCGATTTCTCACGGCGACACTTTCGCAACAGTGTGTAGCGTTCGCCACAAGCCTCAAGAGCAAGCAGCTTTGCATGTGTTTAATTACTACGCATGTTGAACTCCAATCCTCTTCATGCCAGCTATTTGGAGCCCTACACTTCTTTCCAGCTGCTGTGTATCCCAGGCCGAATACTCTCGCTGTGATGGACTTCCGGACAATGGCAGCCATGTCGCTGGGCTGCGCTTGAGTGGGTTTCAGCTTTCGACGGCAACTTGACGGTTGCAGTATCAATTGGTAATGCTGGAAGCTGCAACAGCCAGTCTTGCATGCTCTGGCTTCCAATACGTGTTCAGGTCATTCACACGGCACACATCTTCAACAGCAGTTGCACCTGGCATGGAAATCCAGGGCTGCAGGCCGGGAAATTGCAAGCGACTGCGCTGCAACCCCTAGCCCTAGCTCCACGATTCTTCGACTCCAGCTTCTGCATCCGACGAACCATACCTGGCGAAGCTGCAAAGGACTCAATCTCTCAAACTTGCTAAGCCTCTACCTCCAGCCTCGCTTGCATCCCGAGGACCCCATGCCTCCTCCTCCTCCTTTCTCCCTCTGAGTTTGCCTGCGAGGTGACCCTCAAGGAGACGCTGACCTTCCAAGGCACCACCGGAATCCAGTCCTTGACGCGTTTTGGGGCGCTTCGAAGCTTCAAAACGTGAACGCTGGGAGAAGGGTGGTGCTTGGGTCCAGCAGAGAAGAATTCCGATCTGATGCGTTGAGAACTGAGACAGTGACTGCATGGGACAGGCAATTTGGTCTTGACGGGCGAGATACAGGTCATGGGGGAGCACGAGCTGGAAGGACCCTGCATCTCGGGCAGCAGGAAGAGTCGTCCAAGCCCTGCCCAAGAGGAACGGGGCATCCGTTCGGGTTTACGGCCCTGATGAAGGTATCAGTGTGAGCGGGAACATGACGGTGATTGCCGCGAACGCCAGCTTCGTCGGCTGCAGAAACGGAATGCAGGCTGGGATATACATCTGGGTGGCATCCAAACAAATCCTGAAGGCGTGAAAGGCGTGAAGCCATATCCAAACCTAGGAGGCCTAAACACCCAAAGCCCCTGAACCCCGGTGCGAGCCAAAGCCCAACGGTGCCTTGCCCGATGGTGTGCATCACCTTTTCTGGCCAGATGTTCCGCGGAAGACTTACGATAGATCGGGCGCATACAACAGCATGGCATGAGTGTCACCATCACCAACATCCTTACACCGTTTACAAGCAGCGTCAGCGCGATTTGGCAACAAGTACCAGGCAGCCCCTCTCCAGTCTTTGTTTCTGTGGTACATGTTGAAGCAGGCATCCAATTTAGTCTGCTGAGTGGTGGATTCCCGCTCGGTGCTTTGCCAGAACTCCTGTGGCAGAACGACGTGATAAAGCCTGATTTCAATCGCACTCGAACAGACTTGCTCATAGAACGAAGCATTGTCGTTACTGTGATCTTCCGATTCCTTTTGTGTTCACAGACAAGTTAGCAGGAGTTCTGACTTCGGAGGGCCCTGCCTTTTGAACGCAACTGTGGGAGCTGCTTTACGGAGTTGACCTGTCCGTTGTGTCACGCTGGGTTCTCGACGGCTGCCAGGTTTGGGTTTCAGGTTTCAGGCTCGGAACCGCCAGGATGGACAAGGCGGAGCTCTGTTCATCCAGCGAGACTTTATCGTCAGCAACAGCGGCGTCAAGTTCGAGAACTGCAGAGCATCAGAAGGCCGGTCCTGTTCACAATGAACCGGGCGACCTCGGCTTCACACACACCAAGCGGGAGGTCTTATAGTTCAGATGCTAAGAGACTTCAGCTTGGTCTATGCGTAATGTTTCGTCGTTGTGTCGTAAGTCGTGAGCATCCCGGCCACGACGCTGCGCCCATGTCTCTTTGAAGGGATCGCAGAGGCCCTTGAGAGGCTTGAGCGGCAAAGGCAACAAGCCTTCAGATCGTTTATGATTTCGATTGGGATCCCTTCTCTTCAGCATTTGCCTTCCAAGCCTGGGCTTCCTGGTCTAGGCGGCGGCCTCTATGCTGGCGGCAGCTTCTTGCAAGAAGCAGAAA